TGAGTAAAGCCTGAGATACACGCATTTAATTTAATGTGCAATTTCAACTAAGAACTGAAAGCAGGGTTCAAGCAGTTAAATGTGGTGTTTAAACCTTAGAACTAGGGATGGGTTCCTTCTTTCGACTGACAGTTCCCACACAAATGGATACGGGAACCACACGTTGTTAATGTAGGCCAAGTAGTATAAACAAAACCAGATGGAAAATACGTTTCTTAGCGGTAGGTTGCCCCAGGGATCCCACAGCGAATAACAGCCACAAAATGCGGAATTTTAGTCCCACCAAATCTGTAAGTATTGCAAATCCAGCACTTCTGAGCGAATTGCTGAGGGCACTCTAATTGCAAGATCCAGGGGGAGAAACTTTTAACTGTGGGCAGTTACCTGCTGTTGAGTGAACTTTAAGTACATAAAACAAAATGAACCCAGCTTGAAGTTATATTGAACGTCAGTAAGGTGACTATTCGCTGTCTGTATCACAAAAAATAGAATGTTAAAATTCGGTGTCTAGGCAAGTGGTCAAGGAACTTGAGCAGACTGGACAAAAAAACTGAACAAAATAATTACACTATAAATTTCTCTAAATTAACTCACCATGTTGCTCGAAATTTCTTTCGTGTTTAGATTAGGATTGCTTCATTATCTTAATCGCCGGATGACCATTAATGAGGACATCAAAATTGTCACGAACCTTGATTTCGCATTTGATGTGCGTTCTTATGGTATTTGTTGCATTGCTTCTGTAAGATCGGATGAATTGCCTCTAGAATAACTGTGTAACTATACAATCGCACCATCCTATACCAGAATGTTTCTCTAATCAATTTTAGCATTTTCGTGACAACTGAGGCGCGCATCGGTGTTAATGCTCCATCCCTATTTTCATAAAATCTACACTGACACGAGCAAGGGACACTTATAGAGTAAACAAAATTTACTAAAGAACTAAGAGAACGCAGATGTCTTGCAAAGCATAATCTAATATTTTCAGTTAAGTCATTGTTCCTTTGGGGAATTCATTCGCACATGTCAAACGTAAACGTATAAACCCACGTTGATGAAGAAATTCAGCAGCTAATTCTGCAATACGCCTGACAACTTACCGCTGGCTAGGTCATGTTTATCAAGAAGTTGACAGATTTACAACTGGTAGGTTAATAAGTTCATTCGGGCCGTGGGGCCACGTCAACTGCTGAACGAAGCTGCACGCGTCCGAACAGTGTCCATCAAGACTCGTAGTCCCAAAAAACTACAAATAAACAGGGTAATGTTGGTTTTTTCTGTCTGCGCGTGTGCTAGGTTTTTGGCCCTGGTGTGTTCCGTCAAATTCTACGTGCCTATCAAAGACACGAGTTTCTATCGGCCTGGCTCATAATTCAACTTAACAACTAGTAAATGGAAGTTGTCTAGGTGACAGCGCTGTTCTGACTTTTTTTCATAATGTTTTGGTCTCTATATGTAATCATAACCATCACCTCCCGAGATAGCGTGTCTCCATGTAAATTCACTGGAATAAATCAACTGTCATTTGACATAGCAGGAATCCATGCGAATTTCAAATAAGAATGCCTGCAAAGTAGGTAGAAACACAAACTGACACTCCTCATTAGAAATTTCTCTATTTTAGAGTTTTACTTCGAACAGTGTTTGTTTGTCTAGTCGTGACATCAGCGTAATCTAGGTTTTTTTTTTCATGCAAAATTTACCCATCCTAATTTGTTATGCTTCTTAAAATCTTATTAAATTAATCGAATATTCTAAAAGAGTAAAGTGTATGCCAACCTCCGTCCAAACTAATATGACGCAATCCATTAAGCTTATTAATTCATGTTCTGTAAACCGAAGTAGGTAAGAGATTCGTGATTATATTCCTCACAAGAGCCACTAAATTACCTTCAATCCGATTATAGGATTGTTTGGTCAAAATATTTTCAGGCTCACCTGTTGATGAAACTGGGGAAATAATTAAAAAGTCTTTTTGTTTTTAAAGAACTAAATTTGCTCATTCATGCATGAAAATAAAACTAACTTGGATGGCAAAATTTTGATGAATTTTGGCCCCAATTTTGTCCAGATGTGTAGTGACAGGCACCATTGCTCATCCGTCAAGGCCAGGATTAAATTTCGATGTAGGAATGTACATGACTTACTAGAAGGAATTGAGAGTAATTTTCTTCATCACCAATTGTGTACTATAACCTAGTCCCACTTTTCAGCTGTGGTCGTCTTCTGTGTTCGAGGATATGCTAACTCGGTACAAAATATGTAAATCGATTGTAATTACTCGTCAAATGTGCAGTCAAGTCTGAACCAAGTTGATGCAACTGAATACATTGCTCAAGGTGGCCACCGGTGTTAATAATAGGGATTGGGAACCCTGACTTGCCGCGCCTGCGAGTCGATAAGTTATGCTCCAACTCATCCCAAGCCCAATCAGATCACCTGCTTAATGATTTTGCTGGGTTTGACTGGTGACTTACTGTTCTATCTATTTTGAGAGAAATGGATAGAACAGTGCTTTCTAAAAGAAGCATAAATCTGCCTGACCTAATCACAGCTGCGTACAAGTGTGCGTACATTAACAGATGGAACTGAGCTATAACTATTGTTCCTGCTATTACGCAGGTTGAGAACATCTGCTGTGAAGCGCAGTCACGATTTGTCTCCTGGCCCAAGTGAAGCGCATGCCGTGGGAGCCCTTCCAAACGTCAGTTGGCCAGAGGGAAAGGAGGGGGCAGAGAGCTTTAAACACGGGCACATTTGCTCGATGTCAGCATCGCCGTGACAGTTGACGAGCGGCTATCCTCCGGAGGTTGGTGAAGATAATTAAAGGGTAATTAGTTAATATGCCGCGTCAGCGCACTGCTCTCTTCGATAAATGCTTGAGCATTAATTATTGGGTAGAGCCCAACCCTTCGAGACCACATCCGTTTCATGGTCCTGCACACAACTAAACTGCCAGACGGCACTTCGTCAACGTCCCCGAGACGTTACTAGTTTAAACGTCTGAACTTGGTTTGGTGACACGACACATTCGCCCGCGTGGGCGAGAAATTAATGGATGGGTGGTGGGAAAACATCGTGGCCTCCCAGAGAGGCTGTGCCAGTCCCCTCTCCTCCCCCTGTCAGCATGTCGTGCTCGGTGTCGGAACTGAACGACTACTTAAAAAATTCAGTTTCACAAGCTATTTCCCACGCCGACCAAAACCTTTCACATACCTTGAGGCCTTAAAATATTGCGACTGGTTGTGACGGATGCCTACTCATTCTTGACTCGTTGTTCGTCTCGAAAATATTTTTCCAGCACAGGTGGGTGGACTTTGGGATGATAAAGGATCGCCGTCTGTGGATGCAGGCTTTGACAACCCCATCGGTCGACTCCCATTCTGAAGCTCAGAGTAAAAATCCGTCCTCTTACTAGCTGGGACATCAACTCTGCTACATGTTTAAGAGCTGCCTGTACTTGTATCAGCGTTATTCTTTCCATGACCACCGACGAAAATTTTGCTTAGAAATAATGTTTATGTGGATTTCAAGTAACAGCTCTGAGAGATCAACCTTAGTGCGATTGAAAAATGAAAGTGTGATTTAAATGCTAGTATGACTAACAGAATAGAATGTAAATGCAATGCAGAAGCCTTTATTTTATAAATTATGGCGAAGGAGAGAGTTTCAAACCAACAACCACTGTGATCTTATGTGTGGGCAACTTATTTTGTCCGTTAGGATGTTTTACAAGCCAAATCATAAGTTTAAATTAAATTTCAGTTGATAGTCTCTTTGGATTCCGAAACCAGTATTAACATTAAAAATTAAAAGTTTTTGGAAATAATGTGGAACAATATAAGATAAGGTTTTGTTACAGAAACGCACATTATGGTAAACGTTTCTCCTAGAAGTGGCAGAATCGTGCAAATCTCTCATTCCACGGCGCTTCACCCCTCAATGCGGACGTGATTAACAGTCTCCTTCACCCAGTTCATGCTAAAATTGATGATCGATAAAATCTGCGATTCAGCATTGACGTGTTTCGCCTTAACTAGATGTACCACCAATAAATCCTAGTTAGACGTTGGAAACCCGTCACAACCCAAATGGCTTCACTAAGAAGGCCGCTGTGTCGTGCAGTGGTTTGCAAAAATTGTGAACCACATTAGTGCCTGGTCCTGGTTGTTTAGTAGGCTGCCAAATATTACGATATCCTGCGCGAATAAATTTCTACAACGTTGCAATCAGCTTCTGAAAGAAGGCTATAACATTAAGTAGCACAAGCGTTGTTTTAGTCATAATCACTAAATTGAGAAATAACACAATTAAATAAAGATGTATGAGAATTCCCACATACGTAATCCAATTTAAGCAGTTACTATGTGAAAGACAGGTGGCTTTTTTACTAAAAGTTTAGCCACACTTAAGGGTAGGTGATACACTATGATGCAATCGAATAAAGGGTGCTTGACAATGCAACTCCAGTAACTACAACCACAGTTTACATCTTATCAGAATGGGCCGGATCTAGAGCAGTTCACAGTTTTCTAACATGAAGTTCCAGGCAAAGCAAAGGAGTCAAGTGGACCTCTGAACTAACTCAACTCCAGAGTTGATTTCTTACAACAGCCCACGGAACTCGAAGATTTGGGAACGATACCGTCGTCAGTAAATGCGGTTCATCACTTTCGACTTTCTATCGGCGGTCCGGAAGTAGTGAGACTGGACTGAATCGATAATGTTTTAGGGAGAAGATATGGTGGCAGCAAACCCACCTCCCCACATGATAAGATTTCTTGTTATTAAAAACCTTTGGTATCAAGGTCCCAAGCCAAGTTCTCCCAGGAGGAAATTCTGTTAAGACACACCACCATCGTCAATGAAGTAAAATGTACAGGTCTCTTGCTTATTTCTTTTGAACCTTCTTCGTTCGCGTTAGCGACTACAACGTCGGTCATTTGTCAGCAAAGTGTTACTGCTTTGTCCCGTAAAAACCAAATCAACTACCGTTAATGCTTCATAGGAAGAACGTAAGTTACTGCATCAGTGTCAGCGCATTACTGGTTACCGAACGTACTTAAAACTTAAATAGGTATTTACCCATACAGCGATGCCAAACTACCCTGCTACAAGAGCGTTACCAATTTTAGCTAAAATACCAGAGGAAAGGTTCTTCAAGGACACACTGAGAGCAATGGGAATGCATCCACCTCTCCTCGTTAGACCGTCATCACTCTCCACGAGTGGCTGATGAGAAGTAGCTTCGAAAATAGGGGGACCATCCTACCGGCGATTTTTAACTTGTCAGGACTCCTCGAGAGGGGGTTCGCCTATCACAGTGCGTGTGTGCGCCTCTTTTTTCCAAGTCGCAGTGCCTATCACCAACGCGGGCTGGGAATGTTCTCACATTCTGGGTGGATCCCTACCCCACCCCTTCTGCCGCCACCGTCGCCACCTCACCCATCCTTCCTCCACACCCACCCCCCCCTCCTGGCTTGAGTGCCTGTCACTATCACCGTCGTGGCAGACAGGGAAGTCGGGCGAGTCGTCGACTGTCAGGGCCTCGAGAATGAACATCTGGCGTTGTTGAGTCAAGCTTTAGCTACAGCCTTAGATTCAAATAAATGTAAACATCCTGAGTTTACTGACATGTCCTTGTATCTTCGGCCAGTCGTAAAGACACTCTAAATCATCTTGATATTAACTAATTGGTTTATGCACTTAGAACTTTTGCAGCCTTGATGTCAGGCAGAAAATGAATGGCAGCGTAATCCAAAGAGGCTAATGAATGTGACTAAGTTCCTGTTAGTTTAGCTTGGGATGCTGCTTTGTTTCATTTTGCATTTTTGTAAGAATTTCCTGTTCCTGCATCCCAGCCTTACTAGTTCACATTTCGTCTGCGCAAGTTCTGTGATTAACTCCGAATGCTTGCTATGATCGTTTTTAAATGTGAACCTCAAATAAGTGAGTAGCTGGCAATGCTGTGAGCAATTGTAAACAGTAGAAGTGCATTTACACTGCCTCTGTCTGCAGATTACCCTTTTATGCTTTCTATGTCAGAACGGTCATCACAAGTTTTTCAATTCATGGCTCTTTCAAACTCTCATTAAAAATTCCCTTAAGCTGATCGTAATTAAATTCCAAACTAGAGCAAATTTCGTAAACCGGATACAAACTGTGCACAATCGCTCACTTTAGACCACACATTTACTCATCACGAATGGGAAATTATGTGCCCGGTATTGGGAGACGAAATTCGAAGAGACTGAGAACATAATTACTAATTAGACGTTGCCAACGCCAATTGTGGGCAATCCCGCCTAAAATGGCCTTTAAAATTTCAACATTACTTTCCCGGCTGGCTAGTTTGTGGCTAATTTTCATACGTGGCGGAATAATTCACGTTTGACTAGGCTGAAGTTACTTTTATAATCAAAAACTTAGTAGTAGTCATTTTAGTGCATTGTGAGTTTGATAAAAATTTTAGAAAGTTTATTTGAAATTAATTGGTGTGCAGGTTTAATGCTCAAGATAGAAAATTAAAGTTGAATTTCCATCATGTATTGTCATATGAATTTAAAAAAGAAGCGAGTGTTAGGACTGCAGTAAAAAAAGTACCTATGATGTATTTTGATCGTGCTCCTACTTTTAGAACACTTACAAAGCGGTTTAGTTGATTTCAAAATGACGACTTCAGTATAAACTATTATACTGTCGCTTTGGGCTACTTTCCAACATTGATAATAACTTTGATGATTGATAATTGACAGTGATGATAACTTTATCCACGAATGGATGTCCAAGAGATAAAACATGGACGATTCAGTTGGACATATCTCAAAATTGGGTACAAACGGAGCCGTGATTTCGCACTTATTTCCCTTATCGTTCGTCAGAAAAGCAAATCTTTCTCATCATATATTGGGAAGAAAAAGCGGTTTGTGTAGAGCAGCATAATAAAACAAAGTAACATGACCCATTGAAATGAAAAATCACACTCATTGGCAAAGGCTTAATTTGTGGATTTAACGAAAGTGCTGTTACGTGCCTGGTGGGAGGATTGCCGGAGAAGTTCCTAAGAGCTTCTTCCGCATGTCCGCACAGTGACTGGTAAGAGGCACCGTGAGCAAACCATCCAATTCAATTTTGAAATCCAGGCAAATGGTAGAAGTTCGGCCAGTCGAAAATGCGTCATTTTTCGCAACGATTACTCTTGAGAATACGTCGTTTAATAGCCAGTATCGTATCGTTCTGTATCGTTCTCCTTGAAACAATTCAAATGACTAAACATTCATTTAATTGAAAAAGTCAAACTTACCTAACAACATTCGTTGGAGAAAAAATCACGCAATTTATACTAAGTAAAAATTTAGAGAACAGTTGCTGAAAACGATTGAGAGCACTTTGTTGATAAATGGACAATATTTCTATGACAAAACGTTGCATTTACTTTGATTTAAAATCGAACATTAGCATCTGCAATCACCCAATAAAATTTATAAAGCTTGAATGTGGAATTTTTATTTTGAAATTATTAAAACTAAAATATTTCATGAAAAATATTATTGTTCTGATACCTCCGGTAGCAAAATTTACTTGACTTCAAGATGAGCAATTTGAAAATTTGCACAAAACTTTGTGAACTAGAGGCTGGTATCCCTAGGGTTGACCGCAAAATCTGAAACACGTCAGAACGCTGCCTCGAATATTTTTAATGAAGCCACCGAGCCTTTCCAGCGGCTTCTCTTCATTCGAAATAGCTCCGTCAGGGTGGTGATGGCCAGCAAGCGCCCGACCAATGCAAATTAGCTTTAAAAGGTCGCGTGTCTGGCGCCGACGGCATAGAAGATTGAGAAAAATTACCCTTTTATGCCGCAGAGAGAAGCGATTGGTGTGTTACAGACGTTAATGCCAAAAAAATATTATTCTGTTTTTAAATCACACTCGAAGCACTACTGCCAGAGATTTGGTCATTCGGAGTAAGGTAGTGCTAATCAGGGTCTTGGTAACTATATTCGTGAGACGAATATGAATATATGTCACACACCTTCTATACTCCAACCACTAGGATGCAGACCTCGTTTCCCGTTTATATCAACAGTTTCAATTGCTCTTTCTTGGATGATAGATAAATCGGTCCAAGTCACTTGAACACTGACGCCCAAAAGACACACCCATCTGAGTTCTTTTGAAAAATACTTTGTCGAACCTGTAAATCTATTAAGGATTGGACTATTCGCTTCTCCTGCTGACCAGCGATTAGCATTTTCAGTCTTAGAAACTGGATTCATACACAGTCGATCAATTTTCTACTCGGAACCTTGTACGCGATGCTCTCCGCCCTCCTAAATGCATGGTAAAAGGCTAACCGAGGCAAATGCTCTTCGGGGTGGAGCTTGTGTGGGCAGACTACCACTCGATGTGTGTGTATGTGTGAATATGTTGATGGTTTTAGTTACGTCAATGTATAATGCGTTTTGTCTCCGTGGGGCTCTCAATGACTAGCGGAGCTTGATTAATGTGTCTGCTCCTTTATACACCAGCATGAAATCAAACCATGTGCTCTATTTATCAAAGCGTCTAGGACTGCATTTGTGTACTCAGACGTTTCCAGTGTTTTCTTCAAAACGCTTGAGTTTGCCTATCAATATTAGTATTAAGACAAAACAGAGAACGATTTTTCTTTTTTTTTTTACAATGAATACGCTTGTACTGTCTGCAGACGGTGAAAAATTGGCACCTACAAATTCATTAATATGGTAATCATCATTTTCCTCCTTTAAAAATCTGGTCAAACCCAAAAAGGGGGTTTTGAAAATCGGCAAGTCTTGAAGGTGATCCACCATATTAATTTACTGCCGAATTATTTGTAGTTGCCTCGAGAATAAATGTACACACAATTCAAATTGACATGCCGCCAAACATTGACAACTCTCGGCAACTTTGTTGTTGATGAAAGAGTAATTACTTCGACACCAGTATACTGGACACAAACGGAATGTCATTGAATGAAGGCGGAATATCAAGATTGCGACAACAGACAAAATGACAGTTTCCCACCCCCTTCAAACGTTTTAGTCTTGCATCATCACACTATTATTGGTTGCCTGCATGCATCAATGCCAGCCCATCTTTGTCTCTGCTGTTTGACAAACAATCAACTGCAAAAGTGTTGTCATCGAAGAATCTTCACTACTATTGTTGTAGCATGACCCACTATTAGGCCGTTAGCCACCTCAGAAGAAATAGAAGAAATCAGTTCACATGGTTGATTCTAGTTAATGCGCTTTAAGTACGGTATTAGTGAAGGCTATTTTTTTAGAAATCACAGCGGACCTTAACAGGATTGCTGTCGAGTCCATGCTTGAAAACTGTGCCGTTACGGTTAAGTCCCCAAACTGGCCATGGCTATCGTTTGCTCCAAATCTTAGACGAATGTTTTGACAAGTTTTGTCCAGAAATAGTTAGCCATATTTATTTACTAAACGCCTGTTCTGACAAGCACGCAGGTCACTAATCTAGAGGAGTCTTGTTATTTAACGGAGAGGAATGTGTCGGCGTGTCAGAGGGAGGCTTAGCCGATTCCACCAGGCAAGTGTCGATGCGTTCTCAGACTTGGCGTGGTCGCAAATCATGCAATTCGAGCTACTATCACGCTCCATGAGCTCTAAATTGAGTTCTGGTTTTCAGGTGTGAAGGTGTGGTCAAGATGGGTAAAGTTTTCAAAAGGGCTGCATTAAATAAAGCATTCTAAAGATGCAGGTGAGTAAGAGCATGCGTTGGTTGACTGTCGTCGAGCATAATTCAAGTTTGGGGAAGACCTCTGTGTAGGCACTAACAATGCCCAAACGCAACATATGTGCCGCTTCATCGCTCGGGTTCCTTTATCGATAGGAAAACTACACTTGTATTGAAGGAAATATCTCATACAGTTTTACCGGACTCTAAGCTGTCGTGTGGAAATTCAAAAGTACAGAGAAACTTTTGCTATCATTTACTTGCATGAATTTCAGATGCCTATAAAAACACCCAATCGTTTCTGCGTACATTTGCTTGGTGTAACCCAACAAAAGGTGAAACATTCAACGTAAGGTATGGAAAACAGATTCGACCGATCTTTGCATATAGAAAGAATAAAACCTCCTTCAGGAGCTCTCAATAATTAATATCAACAGAAGCCGATGGTTCCTTCATATTTGCTTCGACGTATCTTGGTGTGGTTCCAGACACCATGAAGTGCAGTGGAGTCCGTTAAAATGAAAACCTAACTGTCTGTCTTATTATTGGCGAATTAACAACGCCTTGGGGAGCTTCAGAGATGACAGAGGAATTTCTTTAAGTCGTTATGCCGTCACTAACACTCCAATTAATGCAAATTACTGGAGTTAATCCAGTCACATAGTTTTGTAAGTTATGACTATAAATCGAGGCACCATAGGTAATATATATTTAGAACAGAGAACTTTCCGCTTATGTTCAAAGGCAGGAAAAGATGCATTAAAGATAACCTGGGTGTATGGAAGAAAAGCAGAAGAGGCGTCGAGAGGGTTTCTTGATGTGCTACTTTCGGTACCTAAAACACGCTTCTCC